AAAAAAAAAAAAAAAAAAAAAAAAAAAAAAAAAAAAAAAAAAAAAAAAAAAAAAAAAAAAAAAAAAAAAAAAAAAAAAAAAAAAATAGAAATAAAGTTTTATTTCATGAACTAGACCAAAGTAACATATAGGTATTTGATTAATATGTTTCTATTCATTTAAGGTAATTAAACTATTTTGACAATTAAATTCTATTACGCGTACTACTTTATTATATACCTAAATATGATTCCATTGAAAGTAACGTTTATCATTCAATAGTACGCATTTATAGAACTACGAACTACTTGCAGTATTTATAATAAGTGCATTTATTTTTCTAAGAGATGAGAACACTACTTTGAGTGAACTTGATAACTCTAAAATATTCATCGAAGACACAAATATAATTAAATTAATTCTGGAAGGATGTAATGCCTTTACAGATAATAAAAATAATATTGAATACATAAATGTTCATGCATTATTACATCAAATAAACATTCATATACAATATTAACCACATCAAAATTTTTTTCACTGCACGCAGAAAAGTATCACAGGAATTTTTACCGTAAAAGCAACGGTAATCCTGTGATAATTTGTCATTACGTAAATTTTTAACGTAATTGTTCATGAATGTTTACCGTAGTTTACAGTAATTTTTATGGTAACGGTAAAATTTTCCCTGAAAGAGCATATAGAGATATAGGCTGCAAGGTCACGTTGGCTGGAGGGGAAGGCTGAGCACCTGATCAGTTGTCTGCTAAAGCGTGGACTAACCTACAAATTTTAGATCTGTGTGGATATTTGCATTAATAGAATTGGTACTTAACGAATTGTTGGACACATGATGCAGTACTCCTTCGCTTATAGCCATTCATAAAAGATACCCGTACATTCATCTGTACCTTGATTTCGGTAATACAGATGTTACGTCTATCTCGTTCTCTCATACAGGTTATATAGCCCACTACAGTAGATGTCTGGTCAACCCTTCCCTACAGCCCACGTGACCCTGCAGCCTATAGCTATATGCACTTTCAGGGGAAATTTTACCGTAGCCATACAGTAAAAATTATAGTGAATTTTGGATAAATTTTGCAGTTACCATAAAAATTACTGTAAACTACGGTAAAAATTCATGAACATCTACGGTAAAAATTTACGTAATGATAAATTATCACAGGATTACCGTTGCTTTTACGGTAAAAATTCCTGTAATTCTTTTCTGCGTGTACATTGATTGCTTATTATACTTTCATACATAGTTTTATTTTTATTAATAAAACCCGAACTTGGAGACCCTATTAAGTATAATTGAACGGAATATAGAGTGTTGTTGTTGTGCAGCTCAATTCGGGGCATGGACATTTGGGCCAGGGCATGGATTTGCGCGAATAAGCCGCTGGACGGTGGAAAAGTGCCCAGAGCGACTGCCAAGCGGCGATATTGAAGCCATTTTCTCCCTTCAAGACAACGAGTTCACCCGCTCAATGTGGAATTACCCGTTCAGGCTGAGCTACCGACTGATTTTGCGCGAAAAAGAGCTGCATTTCAACATCGGGGTGTACAACCCAAGTAAAGAGCACACTTTCAGCTTCAACCTCCTACTACACACGTACTTCAAAGTTCCGGATGTCAAACGCTGCCAGGTGACGGGTCTGCATGGCTGCACGTTTATCGACAAAACGCGTGATAATCAGATCTACCAGGAAGGCCGAGATGTAGTGACCGTTTGCGAGTGGACGGACCGCATCTACCAGAACACTCAGCCCGAGCACATCATCACTAACGTCGTTTCTGGTCGCAAGATGCGCCTCCAGAAGTACAACTTCCCGGACACTGTTGTGTGGAATCCTTGGCAGGAAAAGGCTCGCGAGATACCAGATTTTGGTGATGATGAATTTCCCAACATGATCTGCGTCGAGAGCGGCCACGTCAGTAGTCCCGTCATCCTCTTACCCGGCACAGCGTTTGAAGCCAGTCAGATACTTCAGGTGAGTGTGATATAAGCACTACAAGTAAATAGATGCGATTCCAAAAATTATGCATCATTGCATGTATAAAAATTGTTATTTTTGGCCGGTTAGACTTTCCCTTCGAAATAAAGCGTTTTATCTGGTTTTTAGCTTTTGAGTTGTCATCTAATCAGTTTAAACTATTTAAAGTACGTTTATTGTAATATTTCAAGCGTGCAAAACATTTGATAATTTTCACTTTAATTCACCATTCTGTGCGTTCTGCGCACCAAGTAACAGATCTAGTTTTTTGAAAAAAAAAATAAACAAAACTTATCAAATTAAAAATTTTTGTTTCAAGTAACTCAATTAGTAATCAAAATTTTTTTATAGTAGTCGATTGATCTCACAATTCATTATGCATACATTGTGATATGTATGCATTAGAAAATAAAAGACTAAATTATAAGAGAAAACATCGAAAGAAACTTGGAACTAAAAATTAAATCATTGGACCATACAATATAAATTTGTAAAAAAAGTAAAGATGCTATTGAAAAAAGAGGTCTTGTGCATTTATACCAAGTATTAAATGTATTTATCGCTACATCAAGAAACAAATAGAGAATGCATTAAAATTTTTTAAGTTTGGTTTAATTTGTTCGTCAAAAAGTT